TGGTTAAGAAGCGTGGGGAATGTAAAATTCCTTTTCTAAGTTTAGAAAGGCCTAAGCTCTGCTTACATCTAGAAAGATGGAGACTTTTCTGATAAACGAAATAGGAAAGATGTCACCTATTTTATCTTGAATTGTCGCTTTGATCATTTATTGTCAATTAACTTTTCCCATGTTTAAGACTGATCCCAGTGTTAGATTTTTGTTCCCTGAAAGCAGGGACTGTGTCTTGAACCTTTTAGTATCCCCCACCCGGCATCTGGTGCAATGGCTCGACAATGCTAGATGGAAGAAATCCCTTTTGGATCAATTTGGCAAACTCCATGCTTTTAATGCATGTACTATATGCATCTACTGTATACTTTTCCTAATAGAGTTTACAGCAGGTGCTGATGATGCAGATAGAACACAGACTAACAACTATTACAGTTTTACAAATATCGAGCAATGAAAAGCATTCAATGGTCTTATCACTTTGAAATAAGTATGAATCCTTTTGAAAGTCGCTGAGGCTCTGATCACGATAATCCATCATGTACTCCAGAAGTTTTAGTTGTTTTTTTTTCCTCTGTTCTTTCTTCGTAATTCAACTAGCTCAAGAGTGTTATTTTTTAAAAAACCTGTTCTGTACACAGGGTCCGAATTTAGATTTTCCCAGAGACAGTTACGTGAAGGAAACCCTAAGGTATCTGTACGGCTCCTCTTTAGTTAGCTTCGTCTTCTCCCTAGTAATTCACCCATCTACTAGCTTTCCGTAGAAAGGGCTAGTATAGTGTGACATGCCTAACGCCCCACAATGCCAGAATTAGGTTAAATGCCAAGAACGTAGCTCATACCATCAAGACCACCTTCCTATCAATTAAATTCACCACCTCCTCTCCTTTGCAGTCACTGTAGAATCATTAAACCATTATTCAGTTTCTGAAATGAAATACCAGAGGGGCTGTGCTTCTCTCTGTCTTGCTGTTAGAAATGTTCTGGATGTGGAAAGAGACGATAGTTTCAACCTGGCCCTTCAACACAGCTTCTGCAGCTCTGCAAAGACAGAAGAGACGGCACACACTAGAACTTCCTTCTATTTCACTAGTTCTAACTCCAAAGCACTTTAACCCCACACTGAACTTGTAAGGAAGAGGAAGGAGTATAAATAACCACCAGAAATGCTGAAGAAGAAACGAAGAGAAACATTTTCATTATGTATATTTACCATTTACCATCAAACTGCTAAAATGAAAAGACAGCCATTAGCAAATCCCAAAAGAGGCATTAAAAACAGAAACCAAGATGTTCTTGTTAAACCAATCCACGATGGTAGGTGTTTTATACAGAATCCGAGTTCAAAACCTCAACCCAACAAGGGGAAGACGAAATCACATGACACCTAGTGATCGTTGAAGGCTATCAAGATTCACTTTTTATCTTAAGTAAAACAGGTCAGAAAACATATGCAGGGTAAAAATCACAATTTTGACAAATAAAAACCAATTGGTTCATCCATCCACTAGAAACTTATATACGGAAAGGTTTATAGTGGTTGTCTCTGTGAATTCCAGAGATATTAATTTTTAGTTGTATTTTCTAATTATTCTAGAATGGACATGTATTACTTGTGTTTAGAAAATAATAATAAGTAGGCTGCAGAAGAGTGTGTATTGCTCAGTCCATTTCTTCTGTGTTTAAAAGAGGTATATATGGCTGGGTGCGGTGGCTCACGCCTGTAATCCCAGCACTTTGAGAGGCCTAGGCAAGCAGATCACTTGAGGCCAGGAGTCTGAGACCAGCCTGGCCAACATGGTGAAATGCCATCTCTACTAAAAAACACAAAAAATCAGCTGGGCGTGGTGACAGGTGCTTGTAATCCCAGCTACTCAGGAGGCTGAGGCAGAAGAATCACTTGAACCCATGAGGTGGAGGCTGCAGTGAGCTGAGACCCACCATTGCACTCCAGTCTGGGTGACAGAGGGAGATACCATCTCAAAAAAAAAAAAAAAAAAAAGAGGTATATATGTATATTTGCATAAGCACAAAAAATTTCTGAAAGGGAAGCAAAGCATGTAATATCAGTGGTTGCCTCTGGGGGAGTCTGTGTTGGGGAGGTTTTATGTTTTCTTTCTTTCTCTACTGTTAACTTTAGGTGATAATAATGATCAATCTGAAATAGGAATAAGAACTTAGGTCCCCAGACAAGCCCTGCCCAACAGCAAGACAGGAGCATCAACTTACTTATTGGCCATCTCAGTAGAAAACACATACACCACTTTGGCTGGAGTCTTCTGAGCAGGTGTGGGCTCTGGGGCAGTAGTTTGGCCATGGGAGGGTGTGGAAGACCTGGGAGCTGTAGCATTTGATGGGGTCATCGAGTGTGGTGTGTGCTGGGAATCCTGGGACTTTATGTGGTCAGCAGAATTACATTCTAAAAGAATAAAAAGACTCGTCATAGAAAGAAGACAATTTCCTTTCTTCTGCCAGCATTTATAGCATCACAACACAAACCCACCTTGAGAATTTCAAGGAAGTACCACCTTGCTAAGAAGAAACCTTCTCTTCTACTCATAAAATTTCAAACGCTCTTCTCTCTGAAATGACTAATCATAAAGCACTCCTCCCCCACTTCCTTGCCTCTCTATTACGCCACCTTCATATATTAGCATACATGTCCCTACTTCCTGGTAACTTTTTTGAAACCTTCTAGACTGAACTGGGGATGGATCTCACAGCCTCCATAACTTCACTTAGTCCAGCATTCATCATATTTTACTGTAACTGTTTAATGATCAGCTGTCTAGGCACATTCAAATCTTTGAGGTCAACAGCTAAATCGATCTTACTGACCATGCCCCACCCCAGCACAGTGCTGGCATCCATGGCAGGCCTGCCAAAAGCACCTGAGGGAGGAGGGGAGGAACTGGGCAGGAACAATCACCCAGGTTTTCATTTCTAATTTGAGTTGGAAAATCATACTTTTACTCCTTGAATATCAACTTCACGTTCTGGCCTACGGTGAAGACTTTTGGTCTTATACTAGGAGGAAAAAAGACTACAACCCCAGCTGTTGGTCCCATACCCTTCCTGGCTCACTCCATTTTGGTGTCTGTCAAATCTCTACACATCCGGTAGCCACTCATTCCTGCTACACTAAAGTCAGCGGTGACAAATGTGCACCACTGCCAGGGCTATTAAGGCTTCCTCTTGTGTCTGCAAGCCTGGCAAAATGGCCACTGCAGGATTCCTCTGATGGAGAAGAGAAGGGGACACCAGAAAAACTACCCCAGTGGGGGCCACTGGCACAGACAAACTAGAGCAACTGGCTTGGAACTAAAGTACAAACAGCATGGAGGTCAGAAACATGCAAAAGAACAGGGTTAGGCCTGTGAAATAATCCTACCACAACCTAAACCACTGCATCCTCGAGGGCAAGAACTCCTCAACTAGGAGGTTCCAAACCATTCCTCAGTTAGCAAAATGAGAAGAAATAGTTCCATCATAAATGGTGAGAACTCCTGAATCTGACACCTACTCTCCCCATTCGTCTGATATTAGGCTCTGGCCTCTGCCAAATGTCAGAGGTCTTCCCTCAGGAATACCTACTTCCCTCTGAGTCTCAAAGATCTTATAGACATACCTTTAATGTCAGAGTCATCGTTTGGAGTCCCAGGATCTCTCTGATCAAAGGAGTCGGCGGAAATACTTCGCTCCCTTTTCCCCTTGCCCTTGGCACCATTTCCAGCCCCATTCTTCAGCCCCATGCTCCCACCTGGGCCAGGGAGTGCTTTAGGGGTATGGCCCCCACTCTTGGAGTCACAGGGGGATGGCTGGGATTGGCTGGCTGAGCCCCCCTGTTTACCCTGATTGGAGAATTTGGAATCCAGCTGGGGGTTTCCAGATGGGGACATCACTGTAGGGGGACGGACCATCACCTCCTGCTTTGACTTAGGGCTACTAAAAGAAACGAATAACAAAGGAAGATCAGACACCAGATACAGCTGGTCAGCACCAATCAGGGAGAGGCGGTTTCTACTGGGGGTCAAGGAGACCCTTAGGACTAAAATACCACCCCATGATTCGCCTCGGCTCCCGCCACCCCTGCTCCTATCTCAGAGCTATCAACAGAGAGAAGGATCCAGCAGAGCGGCCTGCCAGGTCTCGGGAACCCTAGAGTCACATGGGGACCCACCTCCAGGGCTTCTGTCAATAAAGGGCAACGGTTTCTATGTACATAGAGAAGTGACTCTTACACTAAGACTAGCTCAGAGTTAACAAACAGGCATCGTTAAGATCAAAAGACCACCCACCCCCAGGCTGACGACAAGGAACAGCTGTAGGAGAGCCTCACTTCCCAGCTGGAAAATATAAGCAGGTCCCGAAGAGCACGGGAGCTGCTGACCGTCAGGTTAGGGAAATCCTCCAGGATACTAATCCCTCCCAACAAGCAGTATTACACCAAAGCCGGGAAACCCAGCACTGCCCTCAGGGAGTGAGGATAAAATTCTGTGAAAGTCAGTTTGCGTACTGTGAAAAGGGAGAAAGCCTCACAGCGGGAGTCCTGGGAATGTTTTAGTTCTAAGAAGGGAGGCCTCCTTCACCATTCCAGGCCTCAGTTTCCTTGTTTGCCAACTTGGGCAGATTGGACTGGTTGGTCTCGACAGAGTCCTTTTGTTTGTGCTTTGGCAGGGAAGTGGGTGGAGAGGTCAGGGAATGAGGGACAAAGAATAACAAAGACAGACCCTAGGGCGAGCTTTGATTACACTGTATCCCGCTCACTCTTCCGTCACTATTTACTAGTCTATTTTCTCTTCCTCTCTTACTTGGGTTTCATTCGCTTCTAATTCAACATGCTGTTTCACCAACGAGTGTCCATGGTGTGCCTGTGGCATCCCCAAGGGGCTGCAGGAAGAGGCCCTTGCCCTTACCTCTGTGTGCTTCCTGACGGAGAGTTCCTCACTTTAGGGTTACTAGAATGCATTGATTGAAATCCTGAGCTTGCAGTCACAGACGGGACAGGCTCACCGAGCTCCTCTCGGGCTGCAGCAGAAAGGGCTGCTAGGGGCAGTGGCACTGGCCCACTGCTTGCTGGGTGCGTCCCTTAGCGCTGGCTGCCTGTATGTCTTTTTCCTCTTTGTTTTTCTCTGCTGTGGAAGTGGGTCCTTTCCCCTTGCAGCTCCAGCATTCTCCGGGGGCGTGCGTCCTGCTGCCAAAGGAAAATCTCGCATCTCCAGGGCACGCTACAGGAAAAGGCCACCCAAAAGAAGTTGGGAGCAAAAACAGAGACATAAAACACCCTTACAACAGGATCAAGGTGAAGCACTAGCCAAGTCAGCAAAGCAGCTAGACCATGCCTCCATTCCATCAGGGCGAAAGGAGAGGGTAATGCTCCCACTGTGGAGAAAGGCTCAGGGGCCACACCAGCTGAAGGGTGACTAGGACTTCCTGCCAAGCACGCACACCTCCCACCCAAGCAGCATGGACCAGGCAAGGGTGAGCAAGTGAGAAAGGCAGTGTTCTCTTTAGCTACGTACTCTCCCTTACAATTCTGTACTTTTGAAGACAAAACCCTCAAAAACTTGGGTCTTTCTGTTTTCAAAACAATGCTTTGAAACCCCTAGGTACTGCAGATCCACAGTGACGCTCTGATGGCAAACAACGGCACTGAAATGTCACAACTCCCAGTTTCAAACCATGATGCAAATTAATCTATGTTTATACTCTCAGGACCATGGGGCTGGGGGCACATCAGAGGAGGTACTTCTGACCTCAAATATTGAGCCAACACCGAATACAATCAGTTCTGCCCCGATTTCCATGATCTTCCTATTAAATTATGCCAAGTATGTGTCCCGTGTTCTCACTGCCTAACGACAGGGGCTGCAGGCATGGGTAAGCATGGGAATGATCCATCATTCTGAAAGTAAAAGAACATCTTTGAACGCTAAGATATTTTTTGAGCCAATTTGCAAGGCTAATTTGAAGCATAAAGGTCAAGAATATATTCCCAAACCTAGCTAGAGAACAAATGAGAAACTCCTTTATTTAGGGAAGCCTAGGTGAATTCAGGTAAAACCAAGACATAACTAAGTCTCTGCTCCACCCCAGGGCAATTCCACTACAGTTTTCTTGTAACCACTATCCCCTTACCAACTCCCTTCCAGCTTCTAGTATCTTACTGGCAAAGTATAGGAATGAAGGAGGAGGGTGTTAGGGGCACAACTTGTGACTACAGAACCATAGGAAGTTAGAAACAGCTCTGGTGTTGCCGCTTACATGTACTTGGAGAGAATGGAGAGGCTGGGCTAAAATTGAGAGGATCCGTTATAATCTAGGCTGTGGCACTCTGCTCACTGTCAAGCGTTAAAGCTCTAGTCCCTTGTTTAAAAAGCTGCAATAATCCCAGCTATTTTACCTGGGATGGTGAAAGAAATTTACAGAAGTTCTGAGGACACCCAGTTAAATTTTTCCCTCTTTAAATAACAAAGTCAGGAAAAAGAACTAGAATAAAACATTATGAATGTTTCTATGCTGACCTGAGGAGAGAGCATTTGGGTCTTGATTTTATTTAAAGTTGTATTTTTTATCCCCCACCATCTTCCAGCTTTTTTTTTTTTAGTTTAGACTAAGAAGTGGATTGTGGTTGTCAAGTTTGACATATATAATCATAAACCATTTTGTAACCTCTCACTGAATATTAGAAATCACTGGGAAAATAGAAGTAGGAAATGAATCTTGCATGGATAAAGCCATCAGAAAACATTTACTCAGGAGAAGAAAAGCAGTTCCCACCTCTATAACTTCTTCTGGAACTTTCTGTAACTTCCCCCTCTGTAATTTCTTCTGGAACTTTCTGTCTGCATTATGTGTTCTAGCACTCCATCACATGTCGTATTGAATCATCCTAGCTGTATATGTTATCTCCCTGTGAAGACTACATTCTTGGAAGACAAGAACCTTGTTTTAAAGTTCTTTGGTTTTTCTGTAATACTCAGCATGATGCACTAAGAATGTAGTTCGACCCTCTGTGACTTATGTTACACACGTCTTCCAAAGAAACTCAAAACATTACAAATATCAAATCACCTCATTAATCTGCCAAGCATTTATGATGAGCTGGTAGCAAAGATTGTTTCTAATAATAATGCTGTGAACATAAAACGCTTTTATTTTTGAATTACTTCTACATACAGTTTCATTTGCTCACAATTTGCCTGACTTTGATGGACAGGCATTTCAGAGATGAATGAATGGAGCCCATGGGGTGTGAATGGCTTCTTTCACGTGTCCAGTCACTGCCCTCAGACCCTGGCTCCTTCCTTGAAGCCATCTTCCTTCCCATTACTTTATGGAGGGAGAGGCAGCACAGAGGTTGAAATAAGCATGTGGGCTCACCCAGCGACCCAGCGACTGGGATCCGGGTTCTTCAATCCCTAATCCAAGGAAATAAATGGTCCCTACTTTTAGCCTTTCTGATGATAAAAAAACGACTGAGCAAAAAACATCTGACAAAATATACTTCCAAAGAATAAAATTAGGCTCTTCAGGAGGTTCGTGTTCAACTGTTTAACCTTTTTTTTTTTGAGACGGAGTTTCACTCTTGTTACCCAGGCTGGAGTGCAATGGCGCGATCTCGGCTCATCGCAACCTCCACCTCCTGGGTTCAGGCAATTCTCCTGCCTCAGCCTCCTGAGTAGCTGGGATTACAGGCACGCGCCACCATGCCCAGCTAATTTTTTGTATTTTTAGTAGAGACGGGGTTTCACCATGTTGACCAAGATGGTCTCGATCTCTTGATCTCGTGATCCACCCGCCTCAACTGTTTAACCTTTAACGACTGGAAAGGATCTTCCACAGAATCATTATAGCCAGAGAGAGATTTTTTCCCCCAACATAACTACATCTCCTAAGACCTTAGGTCTACTTATACAATGGTTTTCTCTTCTATTCTTAAATTAATGCTTGAAATTTTTACTTTGTGCCATGCATTGTTCTACTGTGCTAACATGTTAACCCAGTCACAACAATCCCAGGAGGCAGGTGCCGCTACTATTTCTATTTCAGAGATGAGAAAACAGTCTCTGCAATGTTACCTTGCCCAAGTTCACATCCTGGTAAGTGGTAGAGCGGCCATTTAGCCAGCGCTCTGGGCTGCTCTGGCCCCAAAGTCTGCGCTCTTCATCACTGTAGTGCCTGTCGAAGTGAGTCTTGGTGGGCCGGGTGAGCTGGCTCATGCAAAGTGCTCAGCAGTGTAATGTAAGCACTCCAGTGTTAAGTATTGCCATGACTACTGCCACTCTCCAGCAAGCACACTGGCTCATCATGCCTGAAGCCATTTCAAAATCCCTCCTACATCTCCTGAGCACCACGTTTCCTCCCTCCCTTCCCAGTCCCAGTACCTGGACTTGCCCAGCACTTAACAGAAAGAGATGTCGCCAGACAGAAACCAATTTCCATCAGTACCCATCCCCTCTTTCCTTTCTGTTACAGAAACAAAAAATAACCCACTTTCTCCCAAAAGTCAGTCCAGCCACAGACGGGCTAGGCACAACCCTTCCAGCCTTCGGAGAGCTCTCACTCTCCCCTTTGGCCATTCCCTCTGTCTACTGGATTGAATCAGCATTCAGACAGGCTGTAGAATCTTCCAGTGTTTAAAAAGAAGCAGAACAAAGCCCAGGTCCAGCACTCTATTACTCTTTAGAACCAAATCTCTCCACAGAGTTGACGAGACGCAGTGTTCACCCCCTCACCTGCTGTTCATCCTTCAACCACTGTAAACCGACTTCCACCACCGACTATTTTTGTTAAGGTCACCACTGTCCACTTTTCTAATCTCATCTTACTCCATCGCTCAGATTCTGCCAGTTGCTCGCTTCGTTCTTGTAACTCCTTTCCTGGTTTCCCTAACACCTCATCTTCCTAGCCTTCCTCACACTGCACTCCAGCCTTCTCTTCATCTGCTTCCCTTGCAGGCCCGCTTTTCACCTGATCTCTAAGCTTTAGAGTTCCTCTGGACTCTATTCTTGGTCCTCTTCTGTTCTCATTCTCTGAGCTCTCTCCGTGCCAACAACTCCCAAATCTACAAGTCCAGTCCAGATCTGTACACACCTGCGTGACATCTCCCTGGATGTCTCAAACTCAACAGGATCAAACAGAAATTCTTCAATTCTATATATAACCTTCCTCCTAAAACTTTTTTCCTTCAGTTTTTTGTATCTTAATAAATGGCTCCTTTAACCACCCAGCTGCTCATGCTGGAAATTTGGAAGTCATTCTTGACACCTCTCTCCCTCAACTTCATCACGTCAAGTTTGAACTGTTCTGTTGAACGAATGAAGTCTTGGCTTAACTGTTTCTTTTTCAGAAGAGAAGAATCCCTTACTGCCATCAATCTACATGAAACTTTCCATTATATTCTTTTTAAGACATCTAGGGTTTTTCTTTTATAACATTTTTCATGCTTTGTAATTATATATGTAATTTATGTGATCATCTGTGTAATATTCATCTGTCCCACTAGACGATAAGCTCCATGAAGGCAGGGACCGCAACTGACTTATTCATCTCTGTATACACAGCAATTACTATAGTGCCTAGCCCGTGGTATTTGCTTAAAACAAATCTGTTGTTATCCAAAGGAAATGAAATCAGTATGCGGAAGTGATATTTGCCCCCCACATGCACTGCAACATTAGTTACAATAACTAAGATAGGAAATCAACTAAGTGTCCATCAACCCCGAGGACTGGATAAAGAAAATGTGCTATATATGCACAATGCAATACTATTCGGCCTTTAAAAAGAAGGAAATCCTGTCATTTGCAACAATGTAGGTGAACTTGGAGACAGTTCCTTAAGTGAAATGAGCCAGGCAAGTTAAAACAAACACCAAAGGATCCAAAGTTGGCAGCAGAAATAGACAGTAAAATGGTGGTGACCAACTGCAGGGGCTAAGGGTTGGTTGACGTGAAGAAAAAAAGTCATCAATAAAAGCTGAAGCTTTTCCCTAGGCTCATCCTTCTAAGCCAGGCGTGTGCTCCAGTGCTATCGGCCATCAGTATACTCACCAAAACCCCAAGGGTCACGACACTGCAGTGCTCATCCTGGAGGTGAGGCGTCCAGGAACCCCCTTTTCAAAGATGACCCTCGTCTAGAGGAGGAAAAAAAAATCCTAAGCAGGTTTTTTAGAAAATCAACAATATCAATTTGTCAACGAACATCTTAAGAG